TGAATGTCAATAAGTGCTGTCGATTAGGGAAGCTTAATTGTTTGACGTTTAATGGCTCAAAAAGTGAAAAGGCTAATGAACCACACATCATACCACGACTGACGATTGCACAACGTCAGGAGGCTATTGGGATGGTCAGTGGGGAAATGTTTCAACGCCATGCGGCTGTTGAAGTCCATTGCAACCAAAAGACCATTTAAGCACTGTTGAGACACTATCAGAACAATAATGAAGTTGTCAATCACCAACGTGTATGACGTCCAGGTGTTACAACGCAAAGACAGGACAGATGGATACGAGTGACCCATCTCCAGCACAGGTTCCAGACTGCAGTGACCACTGCTCAGATCATTCCAGGACCTCTTTATATCCACCCCAACACAGCCAGAAACGACTTACATCATAACTGGATATGACCACATCGTCCCGCCATACGACCTATCTTGACGCAACTTGACAAAACCGTCAAGGGTGGTGCCGAGTCCAGATTTAACATGTATTATAATGACGGGCGTTAACGTGTCTACAGACGTCTTGGGAAGCGTAATGTTCAAGCCTGTGTCATGGAGAAGATTCACTTTTGGAGTGTTTAGTGATGATTTGGGGTGGGATAAGTGAAGGCAACAGAACCCCTTTATTTCTTGTTCAGGGCAATTTTAGAGGTGTGGGCTACAGAGATCAGATTCTCGGACCAGTGGCAATTCCGTTTCTTCTACATCATGGCCCAGGATTGACACTCCAATTGGATAATGCCCGTCGGCTAGGATTGCTGTGTGGCTTTTCTTCAACAGCACAATGTGCAAGTACTACCTTGACCTGGAATGACATCTACACCATGTACCAAATCTGCGAGATAACATTCGTGATTTAGCAGCAGAGTTGCAGAGAATTAGGCATGGTGTCATGGTGTGGGGCGGCATCAGTCATAACCATTGAACAGAGCTCCATGTTTGTCGTGGTTTGTCGTATGCCCTTTACTACAGGAATAACATATTGGCAAATCACGTCATCCCATTCTTTCACCAGCACCAGGATATGCACACCTTCCAGCAAGATAATGCAAGAGTGCACACAGCACGTGTTTCAACACAGTACCTAGCGAACAATAATGTGCCTCTGCTTCCATGGCCAGCCCTGTCACCCGATCTATCGCCAATTGAACATCTATGGGATTACCTGGGTCAACGCCTCTCACGTCGTCCGCAAGTACAGAACCTGAGAGAACTTGAAGATACACTACGTCAAGAGTGGAATGCCCCAGAACACTATTCGCAGACTTATTCGATCAATGAGAACACGTTGCATGGCCTGTGTTGCTGTCAATGGCGGACATACCAGATATTGACTTTTCATTTTTAACCCTACGTGTCTTCCTTACACTGATGGCATAATTGTAATTACTGTGAGGTATTCCTGTTTCCTTTGTCGTCATTCTTAATAATCCCTCTATGTCTGTTCTAATCAAAATTGATCATTGCTCAAGTTGTTTTTGTAATATTTCAAGATTTATTGCTGGTGCGTTTTCAATGCTGTTCAGTATATTTTCAAATTAAGAAAGAACTGTAACGATGTTATATCAAACGTCTAGAAAGGTCTAGAGTGCAGTAACTGTTCTTAAAATAAAATAAAAATTGACTGATTTTGCGTGTGATTTTTTCGTCCTGTGAGGGATAACATGTGTCAAAAGGGAAGTAACTCTTTTTGCAGACCTTGGCATCAAGTCATAACGTCGAGACATCATTCCACCGATTGCTTCAATACAAGTTATTGTTCTGGCCACACGACCCTGAGGTCTCATTTTGCCACTGTAGATTGGACTTGCAGTAGTACACTGTCACCGCTTTGCATCCACTTTTGTTATAGATACCCTCAACATCCTTGTATTATACCTAGTCACTTTGTACAGTTTACTGCAGATACTGTTGGCCATATCATCAGAACACTGAATGGTCACAAAACTTTACATGGGATGGGTATGTTTGCAGGAGTCACACCAGGAACCAAACACCGTAGGCAAGTTCCAAGAATCTCTGCAACAGCTGAAGATCTTACTGCTCTTAGCATTATTGATATTCATTCTTTAAGTCTACATCAAGTACCCTTGTTTGCAGATCATGAACCTGATGAGATGTCTAATGACATCGGTGGTTCAAATGAACAATATGTTTCTGATGTTAAGTTCATTGTGTTTGGCTCATCAGGTCTCCTTAGATAGGCACAGAACCCACCACTTGCAGATGCAAAATGGAGTTTAGCAGGATATGCACAACATCTGCATCATATTGTGACGTTGGTTTGCTGCTGCAATGCATACCATGGCCCCAAGGATCTAGTTTTGCATCCCCCTTCAAAATATATGTAGATTACTCTTGAAGTACTCAAACCCCACAGTTGTTTTCTATGGATATTGTAATGGCCCATCCATAAACAAAAACATGCTCACACTCGAAACATTGGTGGAACATCCGGACCTGAAGTCAGATTCACAGAGAACTTGCACCTCAAATCAAAGAAGCAGCAGTTTTTGACCAACTTTACAAACAAATAACGTTTCATCAATCAGCTCAGCAAGTAGATAGAAGAAAAAGGAATCAAGACGTTACATGCTACTGGGGATGCTGACCCACTGTTTGTCAAGACTCTTGTTTGCTCAAGAGCTATCTAGTTCAAATCAGAGGCCAAACAAACTGATGTTAAGAAAAAGCTTGTGTGAAACATAAATTGCAGCAAGCAAAGACATTGTTTGCTCCCATTTGTTCTTGTTGTGTGATACAACAACTCGTTTATATGGAATTGGAAAGGGAGCTGCATTGAGAAAACTCAAAAGTGGCCCAATTCCAGGCACCAAGCTGAAGCATTTTCCAGAAAGACATCAAAGGAGGAAGTTGTGGCTGCAAAGAAAGTACCTGCCTGTCTCTATAATTGTACAGTCCGTTTGACTCCAAATGAGAACGATGAATTGCAAAATAACTCGAAATCCAGAAAAGTGTATGAAACATCAATACGGTACTTTACCATGAATACCCTGTGACCAACAAAATCTGAATTTTGTTTAATTTAAGACCCATGACGGATGAAGTTCTTTAAGAAACTATCATGTAATATTGTATAGAAATGTGTACATGACACGTAGGGGGACAAACCGTGGAAGGAACAGCGCAAGCACGGTCTGCATGTGCTACACAGTGTCGTGTTCATTTAATGACAAGATGCGCTACTCAGCAGATGTTAAACAGTTCATGTTGAATGTGTATGATTTCTTTAGAAGTGAAGCAGAAAGAGCAAAGCCTTTTTATGCAATTAATAAATTCTTGAAACGAGCTTCAAAAGCTCTTGGTATGTCCCCTCAGAAACTTAAAAATGTTGTTAGTCAACGAGATACAAATAATCAGGCCAAGGAGGTAGGGAACATGTCAAGACCATGCAAGGTTGATAAATTAGACAGTTTTCAGAGGGATCAAGTCAGACGTGCAATTGTTTAACTGCACTCAGAAAATAAGGACCTGTCCCTAAGAATTTTGAAGAAACACCTTGAAACTGACCATGATTTACGTGTTACAAAGTACAAACTATGGCAACTGTTGCATACATTTGGTTACAAATAAAAAAAGATAACTGGAGAAAATAGGGCTGTGTTGTGTGAAGGTCTGACATTGTTCGTCTCCGAAATCATTACCTTCGTACCATCAAGCAGAAACGTGAAGAAGGATATGAGCCCGTCTTCTTAGATGAGACATGGGTAAATGCGTCACACACAGCCAGCAGTCAGTGGGTACCCAGTGGTGACTGTAAGGAGTCTGGTAGAATGTTACCAATGGGAAAGGGTGAAAGACTCATAGTTCTCCATGCTGGTTCTGCTAGTCAGGGTTTTCTCCCAGACTGTGAACTCGTCTTTAGAGCCAAGGCCAAAGACAACAGGGACTACCACATAGAAATGAACGGCAATGTATTTCTGGAGTGGGTGAAAGATAAATTAGTCCCTGCTTTGTCTACCAAGTCTCTCATTGTCATGGACAATGCACCGTATCATAGTGTGCAGGATCCAGAAAGCAAGACTCCAACCTCTAATAACCGTAAAGGAGACATGGTTACTTGGCTGAAACAGAGGAACATTACCTTTCCTTCTCGAGCGACGAAACCACAGCTCTATGAAATCATCAAAACTATGAAACCTGACCCCGTGTATAAAGTTGACAGTTGACAGTTGACAGTTACACCTTATGACTGCGACCTGAATCCAATCGAGTTGGTATGGGGCATCGTCAAGGGTGACGTTGGACGATCGAACACAACCTTCAAATTACGAGACGTTGAACAACTCGTAAAGGAATCCCATGGTCGGGTAACAGTAGAAACATGGAGGCGTTGTGTGGCCACAGTCGTTGACGAGATAGAGCCACGTTATTGGTCACGAGATGGACTACGGCCAGCAACAGTCCAACCTATAATAGTGGCAGTCGGTTCAGGCACCAGCAGTTCCGACGACGAGATCTATGGCATGAGCGAGTCAGATTGCCACTGAAATTATCATTAGACGGCCCCTAAACAAATACAAAATTACATGATAGTTTCTTAAAGAACTTCATCCGTCATGGGTCTTAAAATAAACAAAATTCAGATTATGTTTGGTACAGGGTATTCATGGTCAAGTACCCTATTGATGTTTCATACACTTTTCTGGATTTCAATTTTTTTTACAATTCATCCTTCTCATTTGGAGTCAAACGGACTGTAATCCTGTGGAAGGCTTAAATCTGTTGAGGTGCAGGATATTTTGCAGCAAAGTCATGATGGTTTAACTGTACACAATCTCTGTGTACTTATGTTGGAAATAACTTTGTTATGTGTCAGGTGTTAATTGCTTTTATTAAAAAACTCAATTTTTGTCTTGTTGCTTAATTATTTTCTACACATTTTCGGAATTGGATACAATATCTGATAATTACATGATGGTCATGTTTGTGATATTATTCATTTACATGATAATGAGGACATATATACACACTAGGAAATGGATTTTATTCATCCTTCAGTTTGTGTCTTTTATGCAGGGAGTATTTCACAAGTATTGGTGTCCCAGTGGAAGACATTGACGTACCCACAACGGCCCATGTGGTTCTGCGATTGATAGGGGGGGTCTATGGCACCAGCACCTGAACATTTGTCCCCGTACATGATGCCTTCCCAAGCTCCGTTCACCTCAGCCTTTACCTCAAAGAAGCTGTTCACCGTCTTTGAACAGTCCATATCTACATCCACCAACCAGTAGTGTTCGCCATATCTAGAAAAGAACATACTTTCAGCACTTACGCATACATGACATTGTGTAGCAGTATTCTTGTAAATTGAATATTGTTATATTTCAAAGTATCATTATAGTAACCAAACATGAATTAAATTAATAAGTTAACCTAAATATTTAACATTTAATTTCTTAAATACATGTGTTAACTTAAGCACTTGCACAAAACTACTAATTCATAGGTAAGCCACTTTCTGTATATAGCATGGGTTCTTCAGCCATTTCGTTTTTAGGTTTATGGCTATTGTCACTGGGTCAGTCACAGGCTTGGCCTGTGATTAGGTGCTTATTGTTATCTAGCTTTTTGCATGTTCTCTGCAATTATGTGGATACCCTGATCACAACTTCTGCTGGTCAGTCAGCACATATTTCTCAGCACCTTCTCTTCACTGTATCATATAGGGGCTATTCACTGTGCATCAATAAAGGAGGTTCCATCCTGCGTCCCTGAGACGAGGGCAGATCCAGACTACCGTGTAGTTCTCACTCTACGCCCATTGAAAATATATCCCTTTTGACCCAACAAGTACTCCCTTATCTTTGAGACGACCAGAGCACCGCTGTTACACATGCAAATCACATGTGACATATTTGTTGGCCTTAGCACATCAGTTTGTTACACATTGGTCAATTGGGACATCGATTGCTAAGACCCTTCAATTTGCTCGAGTTTTATCACCTGCCCATGCCAGGATCCGCTGATTTCTGATAATGATCATTCTTGTATTAGCCCCACGCTGGTGTCCTGTGGCTACACCGACTATTGGAATGCACTGGTCTTTGGGATTTGCCTGACACATGTGATATAACTGAGATACTGTTTGGAGCGGGATTTAAATATTAGCCAAACTCACTATACTCTCGTAAAAAACCGTTTGAGATGACCTGATCAACAATTTGTCATGCCCCATGATAGGTCAAACATTCGTTTATGGGGCATAGCATGATCCGAATCAAGTCTCACATTGACCATTTGAGGGATTCTTGCCACCTTCCTCCTCTTGCTGTGCCTGACCAAGTTTGGCTTACACCGCAGGAGTTTTCCAGTTGGCATACACCTCTCGCAATCACGTGTTGGACATGCTCTATGGGGGTAAGGTCATTTCTTGTGACTGGCCATTGTATTCTGGTGATGTTTGTTGCTGGAGGTAGCCAGTTACAATGGGTGCCCATGTGCACGAGCTTTGTTGTCTTGAAATACGAGACGTTGACAAGCATGATGCGCAAACAGCACAACTATTGGCACCAGTATGATATCTCGGTACTGCTGTTCAGTGACCCTTCCACGGACAATGTACAGTGGCATTCGTCATAGGGATTCCGCCCCATATAATTACGATTTCTAGTCAGCTGATCAGTAACTTGAACTCTAGTGGCCTGGCATAAGTCAACTGGAATTTAGTTGGCTGTTTGGGCTTGATTTCTTAAATGCTGGTTTCTAATTGATTGATCCTGGATTGGTGTTGTTGACTTAAAGCGCTCTGTGTGGGCCGAACTGAAATATGTTATGTCAGCAGAAACTAGTTGACTACTAAGTCTATTGACTACCTTTCAATGAGTTCTACCAGTTTGAAGCATGTGAAGAGTTAGTGTGGATAACAGAAATCAACAACACTAATGGCTCAGGGCGATTTGACAACCTTCATTGAATGACCCCTCTAACCACGTGGATGGAGAGCTGCTTGGTCCACATTCAATGTTTTGGTCGTGATTGGATAATGGGTTTTGTTTGGTTCTGAAACTGTTCTACCTCAAATTTGTCAAAGCTGATCTTTTAATCTGACGACTGATCATAGCATTTCTATTTTATGAACCCCTACATTTTTGTGAGAGATTATATCAAATTTTCTGGCATACACCTTTTAAATTACATTCCGTTGTAATATTGCATATTCATTCACTAGATAATTGGTTATTTTGGCAGATAGCATGAATATTCCGAATATGATTTTCGTAAAATGTTTTACTAACGTGTTGTATTTATTATATTCTTCTTTGTTTGGATTGTTTGTTGTCCACACAACTGGAGTTCCCTCTGCTGCTCTGCCGTTGTATGCACCCTGACCTGGCTCTCGACCAAACCAATCCAGATAGTTGTCTCCCTTGCTCCAGGCATTATAACTAGCAAAGTGGATACTGGAGCCTAGTTTTGTGTGGCGTATTGGAATAGCACACGGGCTAGTGGAAACATCACTGGAGCAACCTGTCGAAACATCAATCAGAAACTTCATTTATTTCAAACTTTCATTAATTTCTTTAGCATAGTAAAGGACAAGGTCATTATGTGTAATTTCAGAACATAAGCAAAACATTCACTTTAACAAATCTTTAATGCATGTTTGAACAAGTTATTAACATGAATCAACCCCTACCTTTAAGATATATTGAAGGTAAAACTGATCCCTTTTTATACCCACCGTTGACATGACTATGATCAATGCCCCCCCTTAAGAACACATCTTGTCCAGGGTTGGTCCGTCTCTGCACCAAGATGATAGTTCGCTTCCAACTCCCTGTGTTGTTGTCTGGAGTTACTAAAGGGGCAGCTGTAGTTGGGGAGTCTGTGATGACAGGGACTGAAGTAACTCCAGGGCTAGTTCCTGTATTCCCACCGATGTTGCTGCCATGGGTTACCCCATTGCCATGTGTAGGACCATTTGCACCACCTTCAGGACCGCATCAGAATATTGTAAATTTTTTAGTGCTTTTGTGAAATAAGATGATCAACAAGAAAAGGGATCAAGGATTAACAAAAATGATTCCCTATTTTGACTTGTACAATATGTTCCCGAATTTTTTCAGGTGAACAATTGACTTCCCTTTGAATTTTTTTATGATGAATGCCACAGGTGGGGCAGGATACGCTCACCAATGCGAACTCATCACTATGAACTTTGGTTGGTAGGTTGGTTGGTTGGTTGTTTAACGCCGCACTCAGCAATATTCCAACTATATGACGGCGGTCTGTAAATAATCGAGTCAGGACCAGACAATCCAGTGATTAATATCATGAGCATCGATCCACGAAATTGGGGTCGATGACATGCATCAACCAAGTCAGCAAGCCTGACCACCCAATCCCGTTAGCCGCCTTTAACGACAAGCATAGTCACCTTTTACGGCAAGCATGGGTTGCTGAAGACCTATACTACCCCGGAATCTTCACGGGTCCATCACTATGGTATCATCATTATGTGAAAGTGATTCATAAACACGTGCTCATGATATAGTTGAATCGTACAGACGACAGTTTTTGCAGAAATGTTATATGTGTATCAAAAGGGTTTTATTTACTACAAGAAGTATTTCATCAAACTACTAATCAATAAACAAAAACATACCAACAATAAAAGCGGCAATGGGTTCATCATTGTTGTCAATGAGGATATGAGCATTTCCTGAGCCATCTACTGTTATCTTCAGTTGACAGTTGTGCACCAAGTCACAGTAATCTCCAGCTGGCAGCCCTGTTTGGAATGTTTGGTCCAGATGTCCTTGCTTTGCCATCACAAAGAAGCCCTTGTTACCTCTGGCAAAGGCGACGACGTCCCCACTATCATACCAGTGTTCGATGCCTGTCCCAGCTACAACATTCCTGAACGCCACCATGTTAGCAATTGGATCCCACCTGTGCTCACAAACCCAGCCATTACCGCATGAGCCATCTGCATTAATAGTAACATCTTTGGCAGAGAAGTCTGCGTTGTGAGGCGGTCCAGCATCAGTATCACTTCCGAAGAAATAACTGCTCATCACTCGGACAAAACCATAATTGTAGGCCAAAGTAAACGCCTGAGCCATCTTGTAATCTCTGGGTGTTTTATGGGTGATGAGGTTCCCTCCTCCACCATGGCCTCTCTGATTGTCATGATTATCAACAAAGACGAAGGCGTGTGAAGACTCTGCCATACCCCAACCATAATCCACCACCCCACCAAGCTGACCAAAGTCATGGGTTCCATAAGCTATCTTTTGACAGTACCGGAACTCTGTCACATAGCCTAAGTCGTAGTACTCGTTCACCTTGATTGCACCATCATTCTGGTCGATTACTTCATGGAAGAAAAATGCCTTACCACCTTCTGGTAGATCCTTAATTCGTTCCTGAATAGCCCTACACACAAGTTGAAAAATGTGAATATCAACACATGGTGATAGTTAAATAAATTATTTTGTAAAGTAAAACATATGATAAAATTGTAAAGCAAACACAGTCATGTGTTGATTTATATCCCACAACAATCACAGCTTAACACTCGACACATGACTCACAACAAACCTACAGTTAGTTACTGTAGAGTCCCAAACGTTACCAGTGGCACTTAAATGGTATTTAACTACTCAAAAGAATTCAAGGAACTCCCAACTTATTATCTGTCATGGCCATACTGATTAACATTCTTTAACTTCTTTTGATTAGTAGATATAGAATTCCAGAATTTCAGTTGGAAATGACCTAATCAATATACACATCCTAATGTATAAATAATCCAATATTGTGTGTTTGTTTTACAATTTAACAGATAACAAACACACACACACAAACACAAACACACAAACACACAAACACACACACACACACACACACACACACAAAGAAAAAAGTTAAGCACATCCCTATTTCTGAACCTTGACAAATGGCAAAAATCATGGCATAGGATGACTGACCAGAGGAGCTGGGCGATACCAATGTCATCGAATAGAACAAACATTTGACACCAAGTAAAGAAGATATTGGTGAGCTGTGGTTGAAATTTACTGACAAAAACATCATGGTAACACTGGTACTGTTTTTGACCTTAGACATCACCTCAAAATAGTATGGATGCAGGATTAAGTAAACGAGTTACGTTTGATGTTTCATGTGAAAAATTTCCTTCAAGTCTCTACTTGCCCGGATGACGCATTCCCCCCCTTCGTCTCATGCCTCCAGCCAGTCATTGGATCCGTTGATGAATCAACAACAACCACTCCTGATGCAATGCTGTTTCCATGTGGCATAAATCATGTACAGGAGGAACTCGTGCCTATATGCACCGCCCCAGAATATCCCAAACATGTTCACATTTGGGCTCATTGATGGCCAGGGTAGAGTCGTTATTGCATTGGCCCTCATGTAATCTATGACTGCATGCAAATGATGAGGCCTGGCATTGTCATCCATCTACTGAGGTCGAGTAGCAAGAGGGTGGTTGTCAAAATGAGGAAAGACGACTGGCCTCAAAACGTCCCGGATGTACTGAGCCCCTGTTAAGTTGCCCCTTATGGTAGCCCGTGTTTCGTTGCCTCCAAACTCTCGTTGTTCCATGAGTAACATGGAGTAGAAAGTGACTTTAGTGTGACCAGTGGATACGTCTCCAAGTTCTTAGATTCCAGTTCTGGTGTGCTAAGCGAGCAGCTTTGTGGGGATCTCTCAATAAGGGACGCTATATGTCTCGTCTAGCCCCCATTCCTGCTGCTTTCAGCTGGTTCCTGATTGTTCTGGTGCTGAAATGACGATTGGGCAACCACAGCTGTTTCAGACGAGCACTTGTTAAAAAGGGTTCTTGGTGTATAAGATGAAGAGTGTCCCTGTCTTTGCAATGTGTCATCACAGAGGGTCTTCTGCATCTGGGACGGTCCTGTACATCACCGATCTGAGCATGTTTCTCGACTTAACGGCTTACGACAGTGTGATGATACCCCCAATTCCGACCAATGGCATTACAAGACATTCCTGCGTAAAGCAATTTTAACGTTTGCATATACTGCTTTTAGAGATACTTGAGGCTAGCAAACTGCACAGGCTTACCTGATGATGACATCATCTCTCAAAAACATAATTATATCTTTCATGACTGTTACAAATATTGGGACCAAACAATAATGAAATATATTAGGGTGTGCTTAACTTTTTTCTTTGTCTATATATCGTACTTTATCGTACTTAATGTCAGCAGGCCACATGTGTTTAGCAGCATCGATTCTGAAGCCAGCAACGCCTAGGTCGATGAGATGATCGTAGAAGCCAGCAATCTTGTCTCGCACATACTCTATACTTTGATCTAGATCGGTGAGACCAACGAGGTTGCAGTTCCTGACGTTGTTTGGGTCTCCATAATTATTGACATTGCCATCACCTGAGGGACATTTACTGCGAGAGTTGAAATGTTCCCGTCTGTAAGGAACCCCGGGGAAGTCATACGCATCAGAATTAAACTTGCTTCCAGCAGTTCCAGTGCCAGTTCGACCAAGCCCAGCCATGTGGTTTACAACAGAGTCGACATAAATTCTAGGAACAGAAATGAGATTGAGTAGGCTAAATTTATTTCTCAAGTATGCGTGTTTCAATATCACTTACTTGAGGGTAGAAAAATAACAATGTGTGAGATATACATCTCACGATTGTCCCCAATGACAACGGCCTGTAGAAATTTATCGGTCATTTCCAGTATGTTTGTAAACAGTTTAGTAATATAGAAGGAGACACTAGTTTAATATCCAAATGGAGGCTGAAGATTCTTTTTTTAATTAGGCTGAACATTGCAAAAGAAGAACTTTGACAACTTTGAATTAGAAGTTGTATTAATATCTGAATCTATCTTTCAAAATTAATACTATAGTTTTTGTTGAGGTAAACTGATTAAGCTATAAATAGGAGGTGAAACATCCTTTTTAATGTTGTATGTATGGAATGAAAGGAATGTTTGCCTCAATTATAGTACATATTATCTCTTCGAACCTTTGGGATTTGGTCTAAAGAGGATAACGTATGCCTGGATATTGCTCATGCCATTAACCACTGGTTTGCCTGGCCTAGGCTGAGTAAAATAACGTTCACTCACTAATAAAAATAAAAGTCATCCTTAGGTCATGTAACTAGTGTTGCAAATACATTTTACCTGACCCCAACTTTCTTGCACCTCTGAACCATGTCCTTGAACTGTTGCTCATTGCCTGATCTGCTGGTGAGTTTGTAACTGACTGGCTGGTACCTCTCCCACCAAGGACGGGCATATTCCTTCGTCACCATCACATGCTCATTTACTGGGGATACCTTTATTGTATTTAATAATAATAATTGGAAGAAATTATTGTGCAACATACATTCCAGAAAATTGTAGATGATGTTGCTGACCATCGTGGAGTTCTGTTACCCCTGTTGACACTAATCTTCGTGGTGCATATGTAACGCATTAGGAGGCCGAGACGGCTGTTAATTGTGCAAAGTGTGGTAAGGCAGTGGGTTTAGGTTACATTCCAGTTGAAGTGATAACAAATTATCCTGCATTGTTATTCTGTTAAGGATTTTGTAAATATCCTTTCGAAAGTACCTCTTGTTCAGATGCTTAGAAACAAAGTATTATTTATCCTATCAAAAAAGCCTGGGATGTCATATGATGTCTTTAATACTTTAAACAACAATTTGGTGCTGACAGTTTTGGGGGAATTAGATAATTTTGTTTTATAAAGCTATCAAAAATAGAGCCTGTCACTTTTTCTTGGGCTTAGAAATAAAACTCCAAATGTAGCCATCACGCGGTGAGATGGGTCAGCTGTGCAGTGCAAGAAAACAGAACTGTAACATAACTGTAACTGTAACTATTGAGGATGACATACATTTTGTAACTACATACATATTCTATTCTAACTTAAGATTTTCTCTGTGGGCCTATGCCTCTTAACTCAAGCCCACAGATCTCCCGCTGACTAGTTTGTATATAATGCAGAATGATCTGCTTATTTTCGGGTTTTGGGGGTGGAGTCATGTTGTTTTTTTCTTCATTTTGGGACCTGAGATTTTTTTCTTATGAAAATATAGTTGAGATTTTTTTTGTGCGGCACATTTTAAATTCAACCTATGGAAAGAATGTTAAAATTTTCTCACTGTTCACTTACAGATAATAACTGTACAGATGTAGGTGATTTTGAAACAGAGTAATGAAAACAGCGGTATAATAAAGCATTTTATAAAATGATAAATAAAATGCCATTTTTACAACATCATGTGTAGCAAAACCTTAATGAAAAATTAAACCTTACCAAACTGGTCATTTTTTTAAATGGCCATTTTCCATCTTAGTCAACAACTGTTATTGCTTCTTGAAATGGAAGATTTGAAATGATTATTAATAAATAAGGGTTACAGACATACAAAGACTATGGCTTTGCTCACGAAATATTATATATTGATGAGGATGGCCATATTGTGGTCGAGACTTTTGATTGAGGCTGAGAAAAGCACGATGGAGGCTGAGCCAAAATAGTTCCGTCCGCACGTGATGTTAAAAAACACACTTATACAAATCTGTATTACTATATATTAAACCTGTGACCTCTCCACGGGGAATAATAAGAAAATGTATACAGCGAGTGATCAGTTCTTGATATGCTCCATTCTTTGATTGGAGACGAACAGTACAAGACAAAGACAAACGTATTCCAGTAACATTTTCATTTAAATGAATTATTTTTGCACAAACAGTTGGCCCTTTGTAGTAAACTTATTTCCCGTGTATTTTTTGTGATTCTGGTCTGATACGCGCGTTAGATACAAAGTGGGATTAAACCATTGTAACATGGACCCATATATGATCAGCCTTGAGAGGAACGTACCTGAACTCCACAAAAGCCCTTCTGAGATAAGAATCGTTCACACTCATTTGCAACGTCAGTCCATTTCCACTCAAACAGATGGACCATGACCTGCTTGCCATCACAGTGAGGGTTAGTGTGTGCTCCCCAGGTCAAACCCACAACTAAATGAAGCAAACACATCATCAACACCCCGATAACGTTCACTGTAATTAGCACAGTTATAATCCACGCACGCACACGCTCGCTCACACATACACACTCACACATACACAGAAAGAGAGAGAGAGGGATAAAAAATACTTATGGTAGGCAAAGGTGTCAAACTTCTGATTCATTTACGAAATGTAGATACCATAATTTAAGACTTACTCAGGAGTATTCCAAGCAAAGGCAACATCTTGGCACTGACAATACAGTCTCTCCCGGGACTTATATGTGTGACATGTGAGGGAAGATAAGATAACATGTCTTTCCGCAAAAAGGTCCGTGAGAACGGTACCGGCTGAAAAGGTAGGGCAAATAATGTGAACTTTTTACTGCAATATATACATACTCACAACAATGTAGTTTCTAAAATTTGGAGCTGAGACAAAAAGCCGTTTCTAAACTCTAACAGTTTCATTGCAGCAATTAAGTAAGGTTTGGGAAGCCATTGTCGCGCAAAGCTTGTCTAAAAGCACGTGAAAGACTCAAGCCACCTGACAGCACGTGTACCGCTAAAAAGTGTCAATGAGCTGAAAACATCGCTGTGTTATTGTTCATACCCCATTCAGCGGGGCCACGGGTGGCCCAGTCGTCTAAGGCGCCGCAATTCGCTGTGCAAAGTTGCGTCCCTTGTATGGCTGGGACGAGTCCAAATTTATTACCCGGGTACCCATTCCTCTATTACCCGAACCTATCCGGGTACCCGGTGTTGGTCTCAAGAAATCGGAACAAATGTCTGATTTGGGGATAGTTTGACAGTAGCCCTGGCAAAATGTATTTAAATACTCGTATAAAACGATCTGGTCCTGCATACTGAAGTTGACTGAAGTTTTGTCTCTCTTCAAACATATAAAGTCAGAAGGAATGCGTGCAGAGTCAGAAAGAAATGCTTGCAATTAAACAATATGTCACATGACTAACCACGGGTCCGGGTAGTCCTGTGGGTATCCGGGTCCTACTCAGGAACCGACCCGAGTTACCCGTCCCTTCGGCACACCAGAAACCTATGATTGTGAGTGCTCGTGTGTTTCACCTAATACCCCCTTCACATACAAGGATTTTTCTTACGAGTCCTTACGGATCGCCAACTCGTAGTCAATCGCAAGCATCCGTAAATAACTTGCTGGTATCTGTAAATAACTCGTCACTACTCGCAACAACTCGCAGACATCCGTGGAAGGAGAGGCAATTTTGTTGACATGTCAAAAATCATCTTACGATTGCCCACGGATTGATTTTTTCGTAAATAACTCGTAACAATCCGTAAGTATCGTAAACAGCTCGCAACAACACGTAATCATCCGTAAACTGCTCGCAAGAATCCGTAAATGACTCGTATCAATTATTTTTACGATTTGTTACGGTTAGTTTACAGTTTGTTTACGGATTATTTACGGATTATTACGAGTACTTACGTGTAGTTACGAGTACTTTACGAATAGATACGTATACTTTACGTATTCTTACGTATTGTTTACGATTTCGGGAAAGGTATTAAAGCTGCAAAATCGGACACTTCATTTTCAGTTGTATTTAGAAGTCATAGAAGTCACATCTCTGCATATCTAGTCTACAATATCGGTCGAGGAATATCTGGTAGCTGCTGGGCCTCGTCCTCTTCCTTCTGGGCTAGTTGAAGGAGCAATTGTAGAAATTGTTGATATAACTGCAGTCTGTTTCTCTCATATGCCATGTTGTCTCAACTCTTAACTCTTAAATCGCTCGTAAATATGGCCAAACCGTAAGGATCCGTGAATTTGTGCGATCCGTTGATAACGAGTTTTAGCATGTAGTGAAGCCTGATGGTGTTATTAATATTTTAAGTTGCATTTTTGAAGCCCCGAGTAAAAACGCAACATAAAAAACGAATCGCCAAAACGCACCATTTCAATGAATTATGTGGGTATCATGGACCCATTTCTCGCGAAATCGAAAATGCACGAACTGTCACGAACTGTAGTGGGTATAAAACTGTGGCCGATTCTTGGACCTACCACTCCTAACTCAAATTCAGAGAAACCAGGCTATCGGACGACGTCTGGAAGCTGGAGAGTCTGTCCAAGATGTTGCCCGACATTTCAACGTTAACACAATTTACTGTCTCCTGCATCGATACAATGCTACACAGACCACAGATGACCTTCCTCGTAGCGGTCGTCCTAGGGTCACCACAACTCGGCAGATTACCCGTCAACACCAGCGACATCTGTTCCTAACTGCAAGTGAAAGTGCTCGACAGACCATAGGAACACATAATCGACACATTAGCCGGGACACTGTGATCCGACGTCTCCGTTCCAACAACCTCAGATGTCGCCAACCAGCACGTCGTCCTGTTCTCCAACCACGGCATCGACAAGCACGACTTCAGTGGGCACAGGGTCATCACAATTGGCGTCATCGCAAGTGGAGGCGTGTCATCTTCTCCGATGATAGTCGATTTGTGTCTCCCATGCAGACGGAAGAGTCAGAATTTGGCGGCGTCGAGGCGATCGTTTCGCTGACAGAAACGTTGTGGAAAGGGATCCATGGGGTGGACCTAGCGTCATGATATGGGCAGGGATTGGACTTAATGCGAGACTTGGACCCATGTGCTTCCTGAATGTTGGTCAAGGTCGGTGACACGGCGTCACTGCTCAGCGGTATATCGACCAAGTGATCAGACCCCACGTTGTTCGAAATTTTGCACAACATCAACAACACATTTTCCAGCAGGAAAACGCTCGTCCCCATGTTGCCAGAGCTACCATGGCCTTTCTGCAACAACACAACATCCGTGTTCTACCGTGGCCAGCCCTCAGCCGTGATCTGAACCCCATCGAACAGTTGTGGGATGAGGTTCAAAGGCGTCTGCACAATGTGCGCCCAACTACCGATGAACTACGCACAGCTGCTCTGGATGTGTGCAGGAGGATCCCTAGGGCCTTCACAAATCATCTGATCCACTCAATGTACAGGAGATGTGTGGCTGTAATCAATGCTTATGGTGGTCACACCAGGTATTGACTGACATTTTGGGGTATTGACCCGAAACTGTGTAAGCCCTTAACATTTGAAACAAACAATTATGTCATCTGCCTTTTTTAATCCATTAAAATGTCTTCAGTCAAATTTTTGTCAATCTTGCCCTATTAGTATTTCTTGTCTTTACTGTTGAAAATAAATAACACGTATACTGCATACTCGACTTGCGTTTCTTTTGCGTGTGAGTATATATATGTGGCTACGCAGATACATGCAGTGGCTGAACGATCGCAACCAAAAGTGGGTGAGATATGACAATCTGTATTAGGAAAAAAGGTACAGATATTCGTGCGGATAGTGAGAATATGCGGAAAAAAACAACACTTGACGCACCTATTTGTAAAATGAACTTGTCCGACATTTCCGAGGTCGGATTCTAATCAGGGAGTTATTATTACTAAAATTTGGGTAGATATTCTAAGAGCTTTTACATTTTAGCAACATCCTTAAAGAGGCTGCATATAATGTTGATATCTCATATGAGAAATAAACGACTCGTGGTCAAAGTAGACACAATTTATAGATAACAAGTTCGTTCTTGACTCTAAAGGCGACGTTTCGGTACATGTGCTAGGTTGTGAAAACAGTGTCATGTTTAGACCTCGCTGGTTCCATGTGCTAGGTTGTGAAAACAGTGTCATGTTTAGACCTCGCTGGTTCCATGTGCTAGGTTGTGAAAACAGTGTCATGTTTAGACCTCGCTGGTTCCATGTGCTAGGTTGTGAAAACAGTGTCATGTTTAGACCTCGCTGGTTCCATGTGCTAGGTTGTGAAAACAGTGTCATGTTTAGACCTCGCTGGTTCCATGTGCTAGGTTGTGAAAACAGTGTCATGTGTAGACCTCGCTGGTTCCATGTGCTAGGTTGTGAAAACAGTGTCATGTTTAGACCTCGCTGGTTCCATGTGCTAGGTTGTGAAAACAGTGTCATGTTTAGACCTCGCTAGCTCCACGATATATCTATTATATACTACAGTGTGAAAGACTGAGTTTTCCGAAGTTGAGAAAAGTGATATGTTCATTGCAGTGAACACAACACTTGATATTTCACTACAGTGAACATAACGCTTGATTTTTCACTGCTGTGATCATAACACTTTTAGGGAACTATTGTCATACAAGAATTACCTCCCCTCAAATTGTCTCCCTTTATCGTAAGTGTCTCAAGCTCCTTCCAAGCGCGCGACACCTTCGTTACACTCTCGGTACCATCGCTGCCACAAGTGTGGGCGCGGCCATTACAAGAATCTTGAAATTTGCCTTCTAACCACAAATGTAGTAACGTTCATACCTTTGTTTGTGTTTTGGGGAATGCCAGTACACCTATTTTTGAGTTCAACTCCAAGCAGAGTTGTGACCACCTATCACAGTGGGGAGTTTAGACTGATGGCAGCGATACAAGCTCCTTCCCAGCGCGTGACACCTTCGTTACACTCTCGGTAACATCGCTGCCACTAGTGTGGGCGCGGCCACTACAAGAATCTTGAAATTTGCCCTCTAACCCCAAATGTAGTAACGTTCATACTTTTGTTTATTTCTTTGGGAATGTCATCATAGTTCATTTTGAAAAGGTTGACGGCGGTCCATGTTTTCCAGATGAATTTACTTTGTTATTTGTAAAATCAGATTGGTTCGAGATTGCAGACTAACGGAAAATCCAGCAACTTCTCCCTTACATTCTTACTATATCATTTACATGATAGTTTTAATGAAATAAAAATTCAAATTGTCAAAAAAGGAAAGTAATTTAGCAGGGGTAAGTGTATTCGTCGTCACGACAGTCATCACTTGTTTGTAAACATAACGGCCATTCGGTTGCGAACTCAACTCCAAGCATGGTTGTGGCCACCTATCACAGTGGGGAGTTTTGACAGGTGGCAGCGATAGTATAGAGAGCTCCGTGAACGGGCTATCGCTGTGGGGAGCTTGGCAGCGATAGTATAGAGAGCTCCGCGAACGGGCTATCGCTGTGAGGAGCTTGTAAGTGTCTAAACGGTTGACTTCCTTTTCACGTCAGTTCCACATTGACAAGGCACAATAATGACAGATGGTCATGTATGGAGTTAATATCGTTGAGGTGAGGTTGAAGAATTTGATTCATGTAGCGATTTGCTGTCAAACGTCCTTGAACCACAACCAAGTCAGATCTCTTGGTGTAGGATATGGCCCCCCACACCATGATGCTACCGTCACCGAAATTGTCGAATTCACGTACACAATGTGGGGAAAACGCTCTTTCGACGGCGATAAACACGTTGTCTTCCATCTCGCCGGTGAAGAAGAAAACGTGATTCATCGCAAAACCACACTCGTCTCCAGTTTCTTAAATTCCAAGGCTGTAAGGTATGGCACCAAGGCAAGCGTTGCTGTCAATAGATCTGTTGCAAAACAGGGACGATAACTGGTCTTCTGGGTCGGATTCCAGCCTCGCGGAGATGGTTCCTGACAACCTCGTCCGATATCCTCCTTAAACCAGGGATACCTCCTGCAGTCTGCGTAGCTGTGGCATTGCGATGACGTAGGTGGAACAGTCGAATGTAACGATGCTGTGCAGGGGTGGTAACTCTTGGTCGGCCGGTTCTCGGACGCTCTGCAGTGGAATTGAACTGTGTGTATCGGTCATAAAAGCGGCAAAAGGTGTTGTGGTGGAAGTTGAAGTTGCGTGCAGCAGAGACTGCGATTCCCCTCTTTGGATACGTCCTATGGCGATGTTCCGATCGGCAGCGCTGAGTCTCGGCATTTTCGAACTTGACAAATGTTGACAATTGAATGACAAATTATTGGCTTATGCTTGCCATTGTATAGCCACTACCAAGAGTTACAAATGCCAGAGCTTGCACTTGCATTTTGCTTTACTGTTTTCCTCCATGGCATTTGTGAACAAGTGTGAAAACAATGCAGTTTAGGACATTGCAAATCGACAATACCTGCGTTTTGACGCACCGTTTGTCGAATATCAGGCCACCAACATTTTCCAACAACATATATCCAATTTATATACCGGATTTTTTGTGTAGCCTGGTTCAATGAACTCCATACTACCTGAGCGTTTCTTTTTTTTTGAAGAGTGTATATTCATTTGGTTACATGAAAATATGGTTCAGAATATATATGAAGTGGTAGGCCTCATAAGAACTGTTATGGATAACAACTAATATATATCTTTATCATATAATGGGTAGGTTTCTCGGCAGGATAAAGCCAACGGATAAAAACGATATCCGTTGGGGTCATGTGCGGATAGAGATGCAAATATCAAAGGTCAAGTCGGGACTACTTTCAGTGTTTATAAACAAACATGGCGTCGCCCCACACTCCGTCGCAGTGGTGACTCAGCATAACACCACTGCCAGAGGCTAATTTGCATATCACGTGACCGGACTTTTCCCTTGTTTGTAAACAAACGCGCATTTTCAGAAATCAGTATAGAACGGACTAATGCAAGTATTTGGGGGCGCTTTACATATTGTTTTGCATAACTATATAGATATGCTACTACAACTGCGACAGTGAGTTGCATGACAATATATATTTATGCATCAAAGTGACCGTGTCGCTAGCTCTCCGTTGGGCTTCGATGACAGCACGTGGAGCCGTACAACCAATGTAAACATAGGATAACTACGCAAAAACAAGTAGATTTTTACGTATTTGCATACTTTCTCAATGAAAGTTAACCATTCTTTGACATTTGTTTATGAAAATGTGTAGACTTGTCAAACATGAAACGGATGAAAAGCATATGCAACATCTTGAATGGACTGTGAAAGATGTGACGAATCGTCACATGACGCTGGCCTGTGGCAGAGGTACTATGCCACCTGGCTGCCGGCCGCATGGAACTCTGGGTAGGAGAGTGGGCGTCGCCCTTGTCATTTGGCGATCGAGTCAGCATTAACCATCGGGAATCTGGATAAACTACAGGGATAATTGCTATCATTATCAAAAGAACAGTCTAATATACTGAAAATCAGTGTCTAACTGTGACGAAGCTAAGGCATTTTATAAGTTTGGGCAACTTTAGAGATATACATTTTGAAACCATTTTGCGAGGGCATTAGGCCTAGGCACGCGGGATCAGAAGCCATATAAGTGCTTGTAGACCTCTGAAGCTTGAAACCTTTTCCACAAATTAAATATTTCCACAAGGCTCGCTAAATACAATGTTTATTCCTAATGCAGGATATTTACCATCCCCAAACACACTCACGTGATAACCTCTATTTATCACATAATGGGTAGGTTTCTGGGCAGGACAAAGCCCACTCTCCTACCCAGAGTCCCTTGCGGTCGGCAGCCAGCATAGTACATCTGCCACAGGCCAGCGCCATGTGACGATTCGTCACATCTTAGATAGTCCATTCAAGAAATTTCATATGCTTTTCATCCGTTTCATAATTTTCAAGTCTACACATTTTGATAAACAAATGCCAAAGAATGGCTACGGTTCATTGAGAAAGTATCCTAAAACATGAAATTATACTTCCATTTGCTTAGTTATCCCTTGTTTGTTGTTTGACGCCGCACTCAGCAATATTAGTTATATGACGGCGGTCTGTAAGTAATCGAGTCTGGACGAGACAATCCAATGATTGACATCATGAGCATCGGTCCACGCAATTGGGATCGATGACATGCATCAGCCAAGTCAGCGAGCCTGTCCACCCGTATCCTTTGTTTACATTGGTTGTCCGGCTCCACGTGCAGTCATCGAAGCCCTACGGAGAGCAAGCGATACGGGCACTTTGCTACAGACAGATATATTGTAATACACCTCACTGTCGCAGTTGTAGTAGTATATCTATATAATTACGCAAAACAATATGTTAAGTGCACCGAAAGGCTTGCATTAGTCCAGTCTGTCGTGTTTTCAGAATAAACGCGCTTGTTTACAAACAAAAGAAATGTCCGGTCACGTGATATGCAAATTAGCCTGTGGTGTCATAGTAAGTCACCATTCGGCCGGAGAAACTACTGAAATAAGTTTGGGCAACTTTGGAGATGTAAATTGCGAAACAATTTTGCGAGGGGACTAGCCAAGCGGGATCAGTTTCCATGCCTGTGCTTGTAGACCTCTGCGTCTATGTAATGGTTAAAGCGTTCGCTCGTCACGCCGAAGACCCGGGCTCGATTCCCGACATGGGTACAATGTGTGAAGCCCATTTCTGGTGTCCCCCGCCGTGATATTGCTGGAATATTGCTAAAAGCGGCGTAAAACCATACTCACGCACTCACTCACTCACTCTGCGGCTATGAGCCTTTACCACAAATCAAAACAGTTGCATTTGGCGAAATATTTGGCCGTGACGTCTCCTAGACTAGGGTTAGAGCAGCTTTCCTTTGATAAAGGACAGTTAATCTATCGGACAGACCGATGGATTGTCGCGAAAGCCTAGTAGAAACAATTTGTGTAGGCTATTGTTTTTTTTGCATATATGTAGTTACGCCACTGTATAAGAACAGGTTGAATACTGTTAAAAGCGGCGTTAAACCCAACTCAGTCACTGTAAGAACAGGTTTCAGTTGGAACTATAACATTATAAGATAAAGAGGTTATCACGTCTGTGTGTTTAGGGATGGTAAATATCCCGTACAAGGCCTTAGTTAACTTTTTTTGATAATGTTTGTACAGTATCACTTGTCCCCGGCCCCCTGACTGGCTACGGCACTGCTGTATTATGAATAGCCAAGGCTAGCTAAATATAATGTTTATTCCTAATACAGGATATTTACCATCCCCACACACACTCGCGTGATAACCTCTATTTCTTTAAAGAAAGTATTTTATGATTGAACATATACACCCGTTTTACTCATGTACAAACGGCATCATAACATACACATACCTAAATATAGAGGAAGGTGTCTACACATCATAAATGTTACGTACACCTGACGTCATACAAGCAGTGAATCCTCAATATACAGTCACATCAATGCAGTACCAAAGAGCGTTTCAACAAACACGGAAAAAAGCTGTACACTTAATCTGGTTCCATTCATGCGAAAAAAGTGGCACACACTGGACCAACCATTGGATTTGAAAAGAAAAACAGAATTTATTTCTTGGGAAAATGTAGGCTGAAGACGAAAACTACTCTTTGACGAGAGGAATCAAATACAACTGATTATTGCGACAGTTTTATATATAATCAATATAGGTATCTACTACTTGAAAAAAGTAGTGGTGAATAACTGCAACCTGTATATATTTGTTTTGTGAAAATAGTAACAATTTACGCCCATTCTTACAAATACACAGAGCCGTAAGCGAAATGTGAGTGAACAAGTAGTAAACCAGGACTCCCACACCTTGTTCAGCGACCTGGCGCTATTCGCACAACAATCCAAAGGAAAGCTCTCTAAACCAGACTCCACACCCACACGAGTCCAGCTTATATGGATTCCACTGTATTTATTGGAAGCTTGAGATGCATTTGTTTTATTAATTTCTGTCTGCAATAGACTTCACAATTGTAGGATATCAAATCTTGGAAGTTTACTATCGTGATCACATGTAGCATTATGGACATAATATTTTAATTCCTTTCCAAGCACATGTACATGCAGAAGGCCGAATGCACGTTACGTCTCATATACACATCGTCACTACCCAGCATACCCGTGGGTATAGACGTACCTAGAGGTGGCGTATAGACGTACCTAGAGCTAATCTGCTTCGTCCTTGGATTTATCTGGCGTTCCGGGTATATTTACCTTCTCTTCTTCCTCGATAGTTGCCTGTGATCCTTTTACCGACAGATCATTGGAATTACGTCTGCTCTGAGGCGTCGACTTTCTTGAAATAATCGTTTCTTCCTCTTCTCCGATTTCGGTCTTCACTGGGTTGACTTCCACCAAGGTGTCACTGACTGAGGAATCAAATTCGGTATGAACTGACCCTCCGCGTTCAGAGGTTAACGTCTTCTGCAGCTCGGACAACCGCCCTGTTAGGATTCCGATGTCCTTGCCTATCTTATCAATCTCCACAGTGATCATTGATATACGATTGTCCAAGGACATTGACTGCAATTCCTCTCTCCGCGCAGCATCCTCGTCAAGTAGGTTGTCCTTCCTCAAAATCTGCTGACCTCTTTCCATCAATATCTTTTTGGCCTCTGGATACTCCTTAAGTGCGTCCCATAAGTCATCCTTGGACAGACAGAACAGATCTGAATAGCCAACACTTCTCACACTGGCGGTCCTACGATTCCCAGTTTTGTTACCTGAGATATTAAGAATACTCACCTCCCCAAATACTGCTCCATCAGACAGAGTTACAAACACCTTCTTACCATCTTCAGAAACAACTTCCAGTTTGCCCCTCTTGATGATGTACATTTCTTTGCCTATATCACCCTTCTTACATATGTAGTCTCCTGGACTAAACACTTGCAGCCTGAGCTTGAGGACCAGCTCGACTAGAAGGCCTGGCTCACAGTCCTGAAAGATTGCAACTCGTTTCAGGGTATGAAGATGTACATGAATTGCTATTTCTGCCCTCAACTTTTCCGGCAGGATTGCCAGAGCCTGTCTGTCATCGATAGATTGCTTATTGTTCCACGTGTAAGCAAACCACTGTATAACTCGATCCTGAATATCAGACCCAACTTTACGGATTTCCATGTACCTTTTGACGGCATCAACATCATGCTGAAACTCCGTTCTTGAAGCATTCATCTGGTTGATCATGGAACCAATGTTACCGAAGATTGTAGCAAAGATCAAGACACCGATAAGAGTGTCACAAATACAATACAATACTGATTCTATTTTTTCGGGAGCAGGGGTGTCGCCTATTGCAGTCAGCGTTAACATTGACCAGTAAAAGCTGTACAAATACTTTATAGTCAATTGTTTTTTATACTCTGTCGAGTCGTCATACACCCATTCATCTGAGCTGAATCCAAGCGCCTTGCTTATAGCGAAATATATACATGCATTCCAGTGTATAACGCACATTATATTAACAATAAGAAAGAAAAGGCGGAACCCAATTGGGGAACTTGTCCGCGTTTCTGAGTCAGAGTAGAATTCATTAACGCGCCAAAACTTTAGAATACGATTCAGTCTGAAAAGCGGATTGAATCCAACCAGAAAGTAAAAGAAATCGAGGGGTGCTACCGCCAACAGGTCCACGATAAGCTTCCAAGATTTAACATAGCACCGCGACAGTCTCTTCACGTCTGTCACGAGAATACCTTGTTCCAGGAAACCTACAAAGTAAACAAGTACTAATTTATTGAAACGTTAATAAAAGGTAACAAAATTAAAACAAAATCGATCTAACATAAGAATTGACATATTTCAATATAAGACTATCTATATATCTCTGCAATGTGTGACCATGCGATACACCCCTATATCCTTGTAACACGCACAAGAAAATAATGCACATTTAACACTTCCAGTAATTGACAATTTATAGAACATCGAAAACGGACCACTTACCCATGCGCTCGTAACGTTTTTTGACTTAAAATAACAGCCACCAAGAGCTATGTAACAAGACTAAATTGAATTTGAAACTGATGGCGAAGATAATATAGTCTATTCCATGGTGCAGCTTTTCTTGGAAATGCGCACATGTAGATGAAACTATTCGGAGACATATACCAAGAAACTAGCAACCACGAACGGCGTCATCAATACCAATCTATAAATCGTTACCACGTTACCACCTGCTTATTCAGTGATGAACACATTTTAATGATGATTTTCAAACACCAATGAACAGTCTTCCCTGACTCCGGTGCAGTTGTGACTTGGCATAACGCTACTGTCACAGGCTTATTTGCATATCACGTGACCGTACTTTTGCACACGTGTGCAATTGTGTTCGCATGACAAAATTACACGTGTGTGCATATTGTACGTGAGTATATTTGCATGGGTATTCAAACATGTGCAGGTGAATAGGGCATAAGTGAAGTGTTACCACCCGTGTTATTGAAATAATGTGCAAAAAGATACTTAAATATTTCCCCTTCAAATGGTCCTCTCGCAAGCTCGCAGGAAGTTTGTGTAAACACACTGTACACAAAGTCAAGGACAAAAGTAAGGAACGTTATTCTAAATGACAAATTGCGATACCTTTGATCGCACAGCAGAATTTCAGCCTTTAAGATACGTGTTCAATTCTTATGAATACTGGGTCAGTTTGACATACTGTTTTTTCGTGTGTTTATCTCAAAAGTCAAGTTAACAGAGAAAACACCAACATTATGCCTGGTGACACACAAAACATTTAGGATTTGTCAAATGATGTCTCATGAAACACACCACCTGTTAACATCAACATACAGATAATTACGGTGGCCCATAAGGGACATGGAGTCTATTTTTCAATATTTTGATATTTCACTTACTGTTATCGTAACCTTTTGCAAATTAACACGATTTGTCATACAAACATGTGATAAATCGCGTATAAAGAAGATATTGAATCGCTGAAAAGTGAAGCGAAAATGTCCAAAACTAAAATGAAAATGTCAAAAACAATAACGAAAAGGTCCAAAACTAAAATGAAAATGTCAAAAACAAAAACGAAAATGTCAAAAACAAAAGCGAAAATGTCAAAAACTAAAATGAAAATACAGAAAACCACCGCGGTGATAATATTTCTACCACGGTGGGAATATTATCACCGCGGTGGAAATAGTTTTCTGTATTTTCAGTTTAGTTTTTGACATTTTCGCTTTTGTTTTTGACATTTTCGTTTTTGCTTTTGACATTTTCATTTAATTTTTGACATTTTCGCTTCACATTTCAGCGATTCAATCGCTACTTGAAAGTACATTTTCCATGTTTTGGGTTGTTTTTATACATGATTTATCACATATTTGTATGACAAATTGTGTTAATTTGCAAAAGGTAACGATAAAAGTAAGTGAAATATCAAAATATTGAAAAACAGACTCCATGTCCCTTATGGGCAACCGTAGATAACGCCCTTTTCTATCAATTAAGTAGAGCTATTAAACTGATTTGATTTAAATCTGGCTGAAAAGCGAAATAACTACATTATAATTGTGTCATATCTATTCCAGAACGCAGTTCAGTGACTTGGCTTGTCTGACAGCATAGCAAGGGATAATTTTTTGGCCGGTGACCAGTTCCTTTACAATGGTTTATTGTCTGAATGGTCTCAATTATCGATACTCTTTTAATATAAAACGGGTAATTATACACCTAAATATTGAAAAGACCAACATCAATTATTCTAAAATCGGTCCATTGAATGCAAACTTCAAAGATTATTGTGGTGAAAATGTATGTCATTCTTATTGCAGAGTATGACGCAATCTTGGATGAAATATACATATACACAGGTATGTACGTACAACAGGTATGGCTCTGTCTTAGATTTACGACATTCTTACGATAGCTTAGGGCTGTGATAACTCTCCTATCAAGAGTTCAATGCAGCCAGCATAGAACCTCTGCCACAGGCCAGCGCCATGTGACGATTCGTCACATCTTACACAGTCCATTCAAGATATTGCATATGTTTTTCATCTTTTTCATTTTTCACGGATATCCACATTGATATAAACATGTGTCATAGAATTGTTAACTTTCATTGAGAAAATATCAAATGTTCTAGTAGTATAGGTAATGGGGGTTCTGGCTCACTTCCACTGGAGCCGGATTCATATACCTATACTGCTACTACAGGGGGGATTTTTTATGCGTAAATGATGATGTGATTCAATGATAGTCATGAGATTAAGTTAAATTGGCTCCAGCTCACCACCACCTGGAGCCAATGATATAAATTTTTATAGGTAATAGGGGTTCTGGACCACTTCCACTGGAGCCAGATTTATTACCTATACTGCTACTACAGGGGGGCATTTTTTATGCCAAAATGATTATGCGATTTAACGATAGTCATGAGATTAAGTTAAATTGGCTCTAGCTTACCAATACATGGGGCCAATCATTGCTTTAGATGAGTCTAAATGGTAATAAAAATATTCTTCATTATTTTTATCGATAAAGCGATATTCAACATTTTCATTAAGTTCTTCGTTCATTTTACTAGGAGACCAGACTATATAACTACACTCTTTTTGTAAATTGATGAGAAACAATTGATAACCGTATTTGGTTGGTTTGACATCACTGATATAATAAAAACCTTGTGGTAATTCTCTCCATTTAATAGTTTTTTCGATCTCCATTATTATATATATTTATGTAAGCATTTGTCTTAATGTGATCAAACGATAGTAAGCAATCTATTTTTAATCTCCAACCAGTTCTTTGGTTTTGGCACGGAATAATTGGCGCGCTTGTTGCCTCCCCTGTTCAATGAACTTTTTTTCTCGTCTTCGCTAATACCACTGGTCTTACGAGATTTTGATCAAATCTCCTGCTTCATTTCGTTGTATTTGGTGAGTTCCGACAGCACTAAACGAAACTCATGCTCGGATATCTTACAATCGGCCATTGCTGTCGAAATATGATCCTCAATGCTGTTCAACTTTGCTTCGGCGAGTATCCGAATACTATCGTGTTTTAATGGTTTCTTTTGTAACCTACGAGAAATGAATTTTATCGCTATTCCTGCCAGTCCCAAGACTCCAGCGGTTATTTCCATGCCGAGCACGATAGGCGCGGTGATTATAGTTGATAGTAAACCGATACCCGCTACACCGAGTCCCATGCCAGATACTACAAGAGCGGTGTCAACTCCGTCCAGAGCATTCACGGCCCTGCGATACTTTTTATACAATCCAAGTCTCAACTCCCTATCCTTCCCTATTCAATGTTTTATGTCGCTTATTTGATGTAATCGAAATCCATCAACAGTTTCCATCTTTTCAAATGCTTCACCGATATAAACTCATAGTGTATATAACGATCATATAATAGTCTTTAATTGGTCTTGCTTAAATGTTTTGAGACTATACATCAACCTTATCAAATGTATATTATACGGCAAGAATATCTTAGAAAGAGAAATGCTGTCACTTTTAATAATTTGGACCCCCTCGAGGGTTGCAACGGGCGATGCTCCGATATGAATAATACTGCAACGTTGACGCTTGTGTTTCTTGAGCCATTTAATCGATAGACCTGGTAATATTTCGAAGGCATCTACCGGTGCATCTCCGAACAAGACTTCAATAATAAGAGTAGAAATATTAGGTATTGCACTCAAGTTAACTTTAATATCTTCGAATTCAGTAACCAAATTTAAAGTAACATTTTTTAAGGCCGGAAGACTATATAACATATGACCTGGGTTTTCTGGCAGGGGGGTAACTAACACACTTTTTCGTTTTGATGGGATATAAGCCGCTAGTACGATGTCACTATTTATTATCTTAGTTAAATTATGTCCCTTACCTATCATCACATAAGGTGGGGTAATGACGATATTCAGTAGCCACTCGATGTTTGCTTCGATCATAGCCCATTTATTATCGTCGTTGCGAGTAATATTATACGAGTAATATTATACGAAGTGTTTTTAATTAGTCTACTAACGTCGACATCGCTTAAATCTTCTAGATTACCCGTGAATGTGACTTCTTTCCGCTTGTATACATTATCCTGTAAGTGTAAAGCGTATAACTTACCATTGTAACAGGGTTTATCAAATCCTTCTGTGTCTCCGAGATCGGAAAGCGCAATTGTATTACATTGTCTTAGTGTTCCAGGGCCTGATGCATCAACCATTATTTTTAATATGGAGTGTTACACTTAAGTATCCTATATGTACAGGTTGATGTTTTACATCTAATACAGAAATTTTGAGGTCTGAAATAATACCACGCTTCAATTTTTTATATTGTAATGACGAGAAAGATTCCGTTCTACGGCTATTATATTTTTCATTTTTCACTCGAACAGATCTGAGTAGAGTTGAAGGACTTTCTAGTTGAATATTATCCGTCGTGCTTATTTGATCAAGATGGATGAACAACTCTTTATAGGGAACTAAATCAGGTAATTTAACCTCAGGATGTGTGCCAATTAAGCGACTAAATTCCTTTCTACCTGATTGGTCCAATACAATTATATTTGCATGGTTCCATTTCACTGTCCCAGTCGCCTCATTTTGTGTGAGACTAGCTCCATTAGGCTTTAAAATTTCATCATTGAGTGAGCTTACGCTGTAATACCCATCAGGTATAGTAATGGATTTGCTAGTACCATATGAAGTTAATGTAATTATCCTATTATTATTTTTTGTAGCATTTAT